GTGTTTTGGGGAGAAGAGAAAGAGGAGCTAAGTCCCAATGATCACAATCTCTTGAAAAACCCCAAGACAGAAAAGTATAAAAAAGCGTCTCAAAATTCTTGAAAAAGAGAAATATACTTAAGCCAACTTTTCCTTTTTTTAGAAGATTTATTTATTTTAGAGAGAGAGAGATCTTGAGTGCAGGGAGGGGCAGAGGGAGAGGGAGAGAATCCTTAAGCAGACTCCCTGATGAATGGGGAGCCTGACACAGGGCTCAATCCCAGGACCCTAAAATCATGACCTGAGCAGAAATCAAGAGTCGGATGCTTCGCTGACTGAGCCACCCAGGTGCCCCTTAAGCCAGCATCACAGCCAAATGCATGTGATGACAAATTCCTTCTCCTATACAAGAGCTACAAATACTCTCCAGATCACAGTGGAAAACACCTTTTCATGTTAACATTGAACATATGTCACAGATATATTATAAATTTTCAAGGAATTATGATATACTTTATTCTTATCAATAAATTTTAATTAAACATTTTATACTGAGATAATTGTATTTATAACATGACATTGTAGGAAATAATAGAGATATCATGTATACTTTACTTACTTTCTTTCAAGGATAATGTCTTACAAAACTATAGGACAATATCACCACCAAGATATTGACATTGATACAGCAAAGATGCAAACTGACCACTCTCTCCTTGATCCTTGGCAACCACTAATCTGTTTTCTATTTCTATAATTTTCTCATTTGAAAAAGTTACATAAATGGAATAATACAGTGCTCTTTTGAGATTGACCTTTTTCACTCAGCATAATTCATCCGTATTCAGATTGTTGCTGTATCAATAGTGTGTTCCTTTTTATTGTGGAGTGGTATTCTATGGTGTGGATGTGCCACAATTTGTTTAACCATTCCCCTCCCCTGATGTAGATTGTTTCCAGTTTTAGGCTATTATGAATAAAGCTGCTGTAAGTATTAGTTCACAGAGTTGTTTTTTTGTTTTATGAATATAAGTCTTCATTTCTTTGGGTTACATGCCCAGGGGTGAAATGGCTGGGCCAAATGGTAGTTTAATGATTAGGGTTTTTTAGGCTTGTTTTTTGTTTGTTTGTTTTAGGAAACTGCCAAACTATTTTCCAGAATGACTATAGCATTTTAAATTTCCAACAGCAATGCATAAGCAATTTTGTTCTATCCAGCATTTGATACTGCCACTGTTTTTTTTTTTAAATTCTTATGTTAATCCTCATACATTACATCATTAGTTCTAGATGAAGTGTTCCATGATTCATTGTTTGTGCATAACACCCAGTGCTCCATGCAGAACGTGCCCTCCTCAATACCCACCACCAGGCTAACCCATCCTCCCACCCCCTCCCCTCTAGAACCCTCAGTTTGTTTTTCAGAGTCCATCGTCTCTCATGGTTCGTCTAGCCCTCCAATTTCCCCTGCTTCATTCTTCCCCTCCCGCTACCTTCTTCTTCTTTTTTTTTTTTTCTTAACATATATTGCATTATTTGTTTCAGAGGTACAGATCTGAGATTCAACACTCTTGCACAATTCACAGCGCTTACCAGAGCACATACCCTCCCCAGTGTCTATCACCCAGTCACCCCATCCCTCCTACCACCCACCACTCCAGCAACCCTCAGTTTGTTTCCTGCGATTAAGAATTCCTCATATCAGTGAGGTCATATGATACATGTCTTTCTCTGACTGACTTATTTCACTCAACATAATACCCTCCAGTTCCATCCATGTCGTTGCAAATGATACTGCCACTGTTTTTATTTAAGCTATTCCAATAGATGTGTAGTGAGGTCTCATTGTGATTTTAGCTTGCATTTCCCTAATTGCTAATAATATTGTTTTCGTGCATAAATTTAAATTCTTGAATATTTATAGGGCTATACAAACTATTTCATATTGGATAATAATGTGGATAATAATTTATGTGTCTAGAGTTGTTTGTAGCCTTCCTTTATTATCTTTTTGATGTCTGTCCTGTTCTGTCATGTTCTGTGGGGTTATCCCCTATTTCATTTCTGGTGCTGGTAATCTGTCTTCTCTCTTTTTTTCAATCTTGCTAAAGATTTGCCAATGTTATTGGTCTTTTTTTTAAAAAAAAACATTTTTGTTTAATTAATTTCTATGTTATTTTTCTATTCTTAATGTCATTGATTTCTGCTCTTATTTATTATTATTTTTTTATCTCCTTCTTTCTGCTCCCTTTGGGTTTAGTTTGGCTTTTTCTCTTTTCTAATGTATTCATTTAATGCTATAAATTTCCTTCTCAGCCCCTCTTCAGCTGTGCCCCACAAATATTGATATACTTACTGTCTTTTCATTTTCATTCAGTCCAGTGTACTTTTTTATATTCTTGAGACTTCCTTACTTGACCCATGAAATATTTAGATGTGTATCCTTCATTTTCCAGGAGTTTAGAGATTTTCCTGTTGTCTTTCTGCTTTTTATTTCTAGTTTGATTCCATTCTGGTAAGAAAAAACTGAGTGATTTCAATTATTTTAAATTTGTTGGGATTTGTCTTTTGTCCCAGGAGATGGTCTGTCTTGGTATATGTTTCTTGGGCACTTGAAAATAATGTCTATTCTGCTGTTGTTAGTTGGAGTATTCTTTAAATGTTGATTAGATACTATTGTTTGATGATGTTGTGAATTCTTCTATATGCTTCCTGCTTTTCTATTTGACCAATCACTTGTTGGGAAGTGTTGAGTCTTCAACTAAAGTTATGGATTTGTCTATTTTCTTTTCAGTGCCATTAGTCCCTAAGGCTTGGTTCACATTTCCCTTCCTTTCCTTCCTTCTTTCGACTGCTGTTTAGATTGAGATTTCTACTATTCTGCCTCCCATTCACTGATTCTTTCCTTTGTATTCTCCATTTTGAGCCTACCCCTGAGTTTCCCATTTCAGCTATTATAGTTTTCAGTTCTAAGATTATCATTTGCTTCTTTATTTCTTCTATTCCTTTGCTAATTCTGTTTTATCATTTGCTTAAAGACTATTTGTAATTTCCCATTACAGTATTTCTACTAGGGCTGCATTAAAATCGTTGGCAGATAATGTTAACATCTCTGTCTCCTCAATTTTGGCATCTGCTGATTGTCATTTCTCATTCAAATTGACATCATCTTCGTTCTTGGTATGACAAGAAGTTTCATTTGAAATCTGGACATTATATTGTAAAACCCTGGGTCTTAGTTAAATCTACTATTTACTTATTTATTTTAAAGGAGCTTTTTTAAAAGATGTTATTTATTTAAAGAGAGATAGAGAGAGCATGTGCAAGCAGGAGGGACAGAGGAAGAGGAAGAAAGACAATTTCAAGCAGACTCTGTACTCTGGAGTACACAGCCTGATGCAGGGCTCGATCTCATGACCCTGAGATCATGACCTGAGACAAAATCAAGAGTCGGACACTTAACTGATGGAGCCAGGTGCCCCTAAATCTACTATTTATTTATTTACTTTTAAAGATTTTACTTATTTATTTGTCAGAGAGTGAGAGAGAGCACAAGCAGGGGAAGCAGCAGGCAGAGAGAGAAGCAGGCTCCCTGCTGAGCAAGGAGCCTGATGCGGGGCTCGATTGCAGAACCCCAGGATCATGACCCAAGCCGAAGGCAGCTGGTTAACCAACTGAGCCACCCAAGCGCCTCCTTAAATCTACTATTTAAATAAGAACTGGCCTTCTCTGATACTGTTCTGGCCAAAGAGGGAAAGCACCATTTTGTTACTGCCAAATGGAGGTAAAAATCTAGGTTCCCACTTGGTCTCAGTTTATAATCAAGATTGGAGGCTCATCATTACTGGAGGCGTGAATTTGGCTCCCTATGCTATTTCCATGGTAACGTCAGTGGGGGTGCTTTCCCTATGCTGGGTGATGGAAGTCCTGTGTCCCCACTAGGCTTGCTCTGGCGCTGTATGGTGGGGAGGGGAATGGTGGCTTGGAGTAGAAATTCAGGCCTCCCAAATGGTCCCAAGTGACATAAGTAGGATGGCTTTTCATTGGCTGGTGGGGGGGAAAGACCTTCTCCGATATCACCCCAGTCTTGCGTGTTGAGGTGTTTTGTTACAGTGCTATAAGGGCGGAAATCCAGGCTGCTCCTTGCTTGGCATTTGTTGGCATGGGTATGGGGCTGCCACACCACCTTTACTGTGGTATTTGGCTGTAGTAGATTGGTTATTGCCTAAAATCTTTATGTCTTGCTTGTCTGTCCCTTTCCTGGTCCCTTGACTGAGAGAAGAAACTTCTATTGGGGCTTTCTTTGTCTGTATCCTTTGGCATTTCCAGTTTGCTGGCTTCTTCATCTTCCAGTTTTATATATATGAGACGAAAGAATATATTTTATATATATGAGACAAAAGAATATATTTTATATATATGAGACAAAAGAATATATTTTGTCTCATATATATATGAGACAAAAAGAAAACCCAGGGTATTCATCATCCTATTGTTCCTTTGAGTCCCAAGGCCTCTGGTCTGTCTGCCTTCTTATCTTCAACTTTCAGAGTATTATGTGTGTTTTTTATGTACAATGTCTAGAGTTTTTAGTTGCACTAATTAGGAGAAAATTGGGTCTAGTCTACCTTCCTGGAGGTGAAGTCCTTTATCAATAATTTTAAACTGTCAGAGTGCCTGGGTGGCTCAGTCGGTTAAGCGTCTGCCTTCAGCTCAGGCCCTGATCTCAGGGTCCTGGGATCGAGTCCCGCATCGGGCTCCCTGCTCAGTGGGAAGTCTGCTTCTCCATCTCCCTCTGCCTGTCTCCCCAGCTTGTGCGCTCTCTCTCTCTCTGAAATAGATAAAAATATTAAAAAAATAATTTTAAATTGTCATCTTGAATGCTTATTACCTATCTCCAGGCACAGTATGGTATTTTTTTTTAGACTTTACTTGTCTAGAGCAGTTTTAGGCACTATGATATTCTTTGTATACATTATTTTATTTTGTCCCTATTAAACAATGGGTGAGATATCATTATCTCAATTTAACGGGTGAGGCCTGAGATTCAGGGAGGATAAGGAATTTACACAGGCAAAAAACAAAGTCAGGATTTAACCTTAATATCTTTTCTTTTCTAAGCTGACTCTTTCAAAGTCATGCTGTTAACTCAGCTCTATATAGGACCATTGGTCTACCTCGGGAGTTTTTGGAATTCTTGATGACTGAAAGAGAAACTCTGAAAGAGAATCATAAAAATGGTAAGTAATCCAGGAATCAAGACACAGGAAAGATAACTGAAAGAGAGTAAATATTGGAGAGAAAAGACTGTGTGTTCACACATCTGAACATTTTCAGATGGATGACACATTGAACTCTTTTGCAGGTCTCAAGAGAACATGAGCAGGACTAATGATTAAATGTTGCAAAAGAATCCTGAGTTCAGTTTCATTATAGGAAGCACAGTTACAGATGTCTGAAATGAAGATAGATTGTCTCTGGTGGCAATGAACCCCCATCCCTAAGTGAGTCCAAGCAAGAACTGGATTAATGTCCTGTGGCTGAAAAGTATGTAGAGGTTTGGCAGATATGACCTGAAAGCCCTCTCTCTTATCGCCTTTAATGCAGGCTCTGCTATGTACTAGCTATGTGATATTGGACATATTACCTCTTTCTAAGCGTAACGTTTCTCTTCTGTAGAATGGGGATAGCAATCATACAAGCTTCACAAGATGATTATAAGGACTGGATGAGATGGTGGGTGTAAAATGTTTAGTGCTGTTCCTGCCATGTAGAAAGCTTGATGATGGTGATGATGATGATGATGGTGGTGGTGGTGGTAATTTTGTGGGTTCCAAGGGTACTCTAGGTAGGTTCTTTAAGGGTTCACATTTTTGTTGTAGATAAATAGGTTGAGGAACTGATGAACAGAGTCTTAAATAATAAAAATAGATGTAGCAATGAAAGTTTTACTATACCCTATCTGTTCATGAATATTTTAGTATTCTAGAACTGACCTGAACTTATCATTGGTACTTGAGATGTCTTGCATTTGGAATACACCCCTGCACAGAGCAAGTACAAAATAAGTAGCTGTCCAGCTACTTATAGGTGTCCAGTTATATGATAATTCAAGTCCTTCAAAATTTGTCCATCATATGCGTCAATTAGATTCTGCCTCCACATTACTGTGTGCTCTTTGGCAAGCTTCTGAATATCACCTCAATTCCAACTTTCTCTTTCACAAAATAAGATTAGAGAAGGTCATCGCTAAGCTTTGACCTTGCCCTGGGGCTTGGTTATTTTTCACTTTGAAATGAATCCACATACCTTATAAGGGTCAGAAAACTGCATCACTCAATTGGCCAAGCTCTTTTCTTCCCATTGTTTGTCACAGAGTCACCAATCAGGGGAATTCACATTATCAGGAACCCTGCACTCCAGCCAGATTCCATCCTAATTTTGTTTCAGTTTCAGAAGCAATGATTCATGGGCCATCCTTGCTGGGATTCAGTTTCTTACCAGCATTTCTTCTTGCAAAATTCCTGACCCTGTGGGGGAGATGTCGGTATTACTTATTTCACTTTCCTCTTGAGAGGAAAAGGCTTCAGGGAGTTTGGGAACTGGGGCTGGTTCCCAATAGACACTTTCACACTTAGATCACTTCTAATGATGAAATATTTTCCAGACAATCTGTTTGAGCATTTCCATCCATTTAAGCACTGTAGGCATCAAAGAGGTGCCTGTTTCCTTCATAGGAGCTTTACAAGAAGTCACAGCCTTCCAATGGCGATGGGCTATGCCTGGTTGTAAGAACTACTTCCAACCAACTCTGTAGGTCAGGTGGAATACATCTTTGGAGAAAACCTCACTGCCATTGCCTCTCCTCCAGTGGACAACACCAATGCTTCCCGGTAACTCAAAATGAAAGATTTCCCCACTTTCTCATTCCTCACCATCAATTGGTCTCTATGTCCAATCCATTCTACTTTCTAAATTTGTTTTTCTTTTTTTTGAATATTCAGCTCCTCTTCGCTATGAACACTTCCAGTGGCTAGACTATTGCTGGGGCTATTTTACAGGCCTGGAATTCAATCCCTTGGCTTCACTTCTGAGTCTCACTGTGTTCTTCATCATCCTTCACACTACTTGATGAGGCCAACATTTCAGTTATAAATCCAGGTACAATCATCCCTGTGTGCAGGAGCAAGTGGCACAGTGATCCAGTGAAGAGTGTCTAAGAAGCTGATCATCCATGAAGCACGCAGGGATTCTCATAATCTACCCTATTCTCCTTTATCAATTTTATTTCTCTCCAAGAACCTCTTTGTACCCAAAGTCCAAAGCACTGAACTACTGGCATTTCATCAATATGTCATACTCTTTTATTCTTCTGGGATTTTGTAATTCTATTTCCCTTGCCTACAATGACCTTCCCCTCAAAATCCCATACCTAGCAAACTCATACCATTTCACCATGAAGAACTGCTTTAACTCTTAACTTCTTCTGTTATATCTTCCTTGATTACCTAGGTGATTTTTCCCCCTATTTTCTCATTGTGCTTTTATAAAAATACAGTACTTTATTTATTTTATCACTATTCCCTTATAGACTATGGACACTAGAAGGAAATAAATACTATCCTTTTCTCTTTTTATGTACAGATCTGGTTCTTTATTAATGTGTTAAAATTTAATAAATACATATTTCTTTGTGGATAACTAGCTATCTGTTATTCAGATGTGAGAGCATTTTGAGAGAAGTGACTTTGGCTTTTTAAGAAGGTAACAATGCATAACTGGGGTCTTTGTTGTTGGCCAGACTATAAAACTGCTAGAGGCTGTAAAGGCTTCATTTGAAGGTTGATTCCATGCTACTCATGGGCTTGGGTTGTTAGTAAACTTTGCTCCCATATAAAGTCCTGACTGAAGCAGATTAGTCATCAACGAAGGAGTCATGCCTGCATTTGTAACATTTATCATTCCATTCTGTTCATGACCATGGAAGGAATACTTTGACAAAAATATATATCCAGAAGAAGTCAAGCCAAGAGTCCACCATCCCTCCTATCCCTGGAATCTCAGGTGTAACAAATACTACTAACAGTAGAAACAAAGCTGCATTGGGCCTTTAACTTCAGGTAATGGGTATCTGGGGACTTGGATCACTCACACCGGGAGGAAGAGAGCACAGGTAACTGGAACGCAGGGCTACTGTCCCTCCACATGCTGACAGCACCACCAGACAACTGTATCTTGGTGGAGAGTATAAGTAATTCTGTTCGTTATAGCCTTGCAAAGATGAACTAATAAGGAGAGAATGAGCAACAGAACAATGGAGAATAAGGAAAGGTGGATTCTAAAAGTGACTGACCAGCAAAGAAAACAGCAATTGAAAAAAAAATGAGGTATCCTTATAGAGGACACTATCACACACTTCCTGGTTCTCTTGAGTTTCAATATCTGAGGAGAACAGATGCACTATGAAGAACTCTCCTGCTTTTCCATTGCTCCATCCCCTCTTTGTTCTCATTCCCCCACCAGGAGATTTGGATAATTTTTCTAGTGTTAACTCAAACCCATCTCTTCCACAGAGCTTCTCTAATAATATTCCATAGACCCTAATCCACATCATTCCCCTTCCTGGCACATGGGTCATGTGGTGTGGTTCTAGGAGCATCTCCCAGAAAACACCTTTTCCGTTCCTAATTGTATGAAACTGATAAGCTTGCTTGATTTCTCAGTAGCTCAAAAACTCTGACCCAAGTTTCCACAAGAAAATACAGATTCTGTATCATACAGAGGTGCAAAAGGCTTAGGTTATATCCTTTTCTGATATTTGCTGTGATAGAGGTGCCAAAAGGAAAAAAACAGAGCTGGACACTTGTTAAAGGTGGAAAGACAGATTTTATCCAAGCTACTGTAGTCGAGGAGAGAGTCTCCAGTGTAGACTGAGCCCAACTCCAACTGAGACAAAGGTAACTAAGTTTTTTTAAAAGGAGGACAAATAGGAATAGGGACTATGGAAAATTGAAAAAGGGAACCAAAAAGGGACAAGGGGCATATATGGAATTGGAAAATGAAAGGTGGGGTAAGTATAGAATTGCTAAAAATGGTCTGACGATGGGTTGGGACAATATACATTTAACAGTTTGGCAGCCTTGCATTTTCTCGAGCTAAGGCTCAGTATGATGGCTGGGATCATCTTTAGGGACATAGCCTAGTGCGGTGGAAGCCAAGTTAAAATTTAGTCAAGTATCTTAACACAGTGCCTGGGCAACTCCTTTGTGCTGCATGGGAGTTCACGGTTTGCAGAAGAAGGAGCAGAACATACAGAATAAATAAGGGAGGTGTTATAGCGGGGAGTATGGAAGACAGAATGGTCCCCAGAGATGTCCACATCTTATTTCCTGGAACCTGTGAATATGTTATAAAAGGGAGTGTCAGAGTTAGGGGAGGTGTGATGACAGAGGCAGAGAGAGAGGGAGAGAGAGATCTGAAGATGTTGCTGAGCTTGGTGATGGGGAAGGAGCCAGGGCAAAGGAATGAGTGGATTCCTCCAGAAGATGAATTAGGCAGGGAAAGGATTCTCCCCTACAGCCTGCGGAAGGGATACAGCCCTGCTGATACATAGATTTTAGTCCTGCAAGACTCATTTCAGACTTCTGACAGCCAGGAGAGTAAGAAAATTAATTTATGTTGTTGTCAGCCACTAAAACTTGTTCGTTACAGCAGCAGCAGGAAAACACAAGACAATAAACATGACCCTCAAGCTGCCCATTTCACCAGCCCCCCAAGCCCTGGCACCACATCCTGAGAACTGTCACATCCAGGGGACTGAAGGAAAGTGTGTACACTGGAACTCTTTCCCAGGAGCACAGTTTCTTGGTAGAGCAAGAGCTTCTTGAGATTCACTGCCCAAGAATGTCGTGGCATTTTGCTGTATTGCTTGCAGTTTTGACATTAATAGGAATGATCTTAACGTGATCATCATTTTGTCATTTGATTGCATTTCCTTGGTGAATCAAATGACTCCTAAGCTCAATGACATTTAAAGACAGAGTGCAAGCTCCCTACGTTGGTGTACTGAAACAGGAAAAGGTTGGGGTGGTTTGTGCACAGAAAGCTCATTTCTAAGCTATTTCAGTCATCTTTTCACATCTGCCAATAATCTCTCTTCCAAAAGCAATATTGGCTGGGGCACTGGAAGAATGTGCTAGTCTTCTCAGACAGGCTGCTAACTACCAGCAAAGTTAACTGAGCAGCCTTGTTACTAAAGCCACAGAGATGATAAGTCTTTTCCTCCGGGGAAATCGTATGCTCTCCTTCATTATTACCTCTCGCCTCTACTGCACAGGTTCCAGTGGTCAATGCTTAGCACGCAAAGTCCGAGAAATGTGGAACTGCATATTTTATCAGCTTCCCCCCCACCCTGAGTCTCCGTTCCGTTCCCTACCAGACCTCATTCTTTCACATTGATGTAACTGAGTTACTGACTCAGGTTTTAAGTAAAATGTCAGGGTGCAAATAATTGCCATGATAATTATAGCTACTGGGAATAAAGAGCATCTTATGTGCCAGAACTGTGCCGGGCATTTTACATTTATTTCATTTATTCAACCTGAGTTTTCATGTATTCAGTCTGACATTAGTTAATGTTGTTTGCACTACTGGTTAGAGTCAAAATCGGGCTTGGAAAGTAAGAAGCTAAGATTCCTAAGAGCTGATAGTGTTTTAGGGGAGTGATGTATGCTCCTGCTCTCATTGCCCTAAGAAATAGGGCCATTTTCCTTAGTATGGAGGTGGGTGATGGTGCCACAGTTTGCATATAGAATGAATGATGCTCAATGTTTATTGAGGAACATATGTGCACACCAACAGTTTGAGACACTCTTTGTAGATTAGGCTTTTTAAACACATGGGGTATGAACTCTGGAATTATGCTGTCCAGTTTGGTCCTGTCTCCACCAGTTCATTCACTCATGCATTCATCTATTAATTTAACACGTATTTATCACCATTCATGAGAGCATCCACACCTCTGAGGATCAGGGCTGGTTGCGAACAAAACAAAGTTGTTTCTTTCGTGAAGTTTATATTCTGGCGAAAGAAACAGGCAAAAGCAACAACAATAAAACCCACTTATACAGACAGATGGTGATAAATGCTATGTGGAAAGTAAGGCAGGGAAGGAGACAGGGAGAAACAGACAGGTGCATCAGAGACGGGTTCTCTGGAGGCGCTGACGTTTGAGCAGAGACCCGGATGAAGTGAGAGCAGCAGGCCCTGTTTCCCTCTGGGAGAAGAGAGTTGTAGGCTGAGGAAGAGCAAGTACAAAGGCAGCCCTGGTGCAGGAAAGGGTCTACAGCCAGCAGCTTAGGTTGGGTTGCCCAGATTCCCTTTTAAATGATTCATTAAGGAAGTGTTCTCAGGGGGAACCTACAAGGGAGTAAGAGAAATGGGGGAGGAAAGTTTGAGAATTCAGGCAAAGTTCCAGCCTTAGCTTGATCTTTCCTGGAGATTATACTACACCCCCAGGAGCCAGGGAGGAAATAAACTCCCCTGGCCTCTGTCAGGACAGGCAAGAGGGCTGGTTCCAGGTGCACAAAGGCAGTCCTTTAAAGAAGGTCTCTGGGGTCATCCAGGGTATATGGCTTCCCGAGGCTGGAGGATGAGCACAGAGAACCAACAGAGGGACTTAAGGGGATATGGGTGGAGTATCAGCTGTGGCCCCTAAAGCCAGCATACTAGAGCAGAGTGAGAAAGAATAGGGCATGAAAGCTGTTAAGGGACCCATCATGGAGGGACTTTGGATTTTTACTTAATTGGTAATGGGGAGCCTTGAAGATATTTTGTGCAAAAGAGTGGCATGATGTGATTTACATTTTAAAAGGATCAGTTAAGCTGCTGTGTGAATCATAGACTCAGGGGACTTAGAGCAGAAGCACCAAAGACTGTTAGGAGGCTGTGGTAGAATTCTAGGGGGATTATGATCTTGGATCTGCACTGTTCAGCACAGAAGCCACTGGCCAAATATGGTTACTGAGCACTTGGAATAGGCCTCATTCAAACTGACATGTGCTGTAAGTGTAAAGTAAACATCAGACTTCAAAGGCTTAGTAGGAAATAAACAAGGTACAACACTGTACAATGTGTATTGATCACATGTTGAAATGATAATATTCTGCTCAAATAAGTGTTCAAACAAAATATTAGTAAATGTGTTAATTATGTTATTAAAATATGTTATTTAACTGTTTCTTTTTCCTTTTTAAATGTGGCTACTGGAAAATTTTAAATCACATGTGTAGCTCACATTATCTCTGTTGGACATCTCAAGTTAGACTCAGATGGTGAAAAGTGCTTAGCTTCTGTAAATATTATAGAAGTAGAGAGGACAGAATTTGCTGATGGATAGTATGTAGGAGTGTAAAAGGTACACTGGATGATGGCGACATTTTCCAAGATGAAAACCACTGGGGAGCATATCGGGGATAATAGGAAATGGAATTTGGTTTTGGTCTTAAGTTGGGGATGTCTAATGGACCTTGAAATCAAGGTGATAAATGGGTGGTTGGACATGAGTCTGGAGTTCCTTGGAGAGATGCAGGCTAGAGACTTAAGTTTGAGAATATTTAGTATATAAATAGTTTTTAAAGGAATTG